ATAACTTTCACCGACATCCTTCTGGACTGCTGCAGCACAAGGAGCAATACAGAAGTGCTCTGTTTTTTGAGTTCCTTGAGTTTGTTTTTGAGGATGACTGTCTGGAGTGGATGGAAATAGTTGGCGTCAATTTGAGTTAAAGTAATCTGATAAGGAAATATGAGATTGTTTGAAGTACAGCTTTTCTGTTGTCTTTCAGGTACTGCTGGCCCAATACAAGGCAACTGGGAAGCTGTATGCCATCAAAGCCTTGAAGAAAAAAGACATCATTAGGAGAGATGAAATTGATAGGTAAGCTTTGTTTAGAGATGGTACTATTGCCAGAGGCTACATAATCGCAGCTGTAATCAAATGTTAGTAGGTATGGTGTGTACTGGCTGTGGTACTCTTAAGGTTAAATGTGACCTTAAGACTTTGATAATTAAAATCAGAAATAAGGAAACGTAGAATGATGTCTAACTTTTGTAAGAGTGACACCTGAAGAACACTCTAAAACTCAAGGTCTGGAAGTATATAAGATAGATGTTATATTAGCCCTCAATTTTTATTTCTCTAACTTAAGATGTAAAGATTTTCTTCTTCATCCTCTCTTTCTCAAAACAGGCTTTTCTTCTGAGTCTGTTTAACACTGACATTTTCTTTCTTTGAATCCTGGCAGCTTGAACTGTGAGAAGCGAATATTTGAGGTGGTCAATTCTTCTGATCATCCATTCCTTGTGAACATGTTTGCATGTTTCCAGACCCCTCATCATGCCTGTTTTGTCATGGAATACACTCCAGGTGGGGATCTGATGATGCGCATACATGAAGATGTCTTTCCGGAGCATGTGGCACAGTGAGTTGGAATTAGTCTTGTCTCCAGGAACTATAAATTTTTAACTTGAATCTCCTATATTGCCTGGTAACTATTTTTGTCTTTTAGGTTTTATACAGCCTGTGTAGTCTTGGGGCTCCAGTTCTTGCATGAGAAGAAAATTGTTTATAGGTAATACAGCAGAGACTCAAGACAGTTCAGCAACTCGAAGGTTGTTTTTTCCTGTAGCTGTGTCTGGAGCTCAATCTCTTGCTGGGGTTTCTAATCTTTCTGCCCGTCTTTCTTTTCCCTGTCACTATCAGCATGTTCATCGTGCTCACAGTAGAGAAAGTCACCTAGAAGCTATTCATCTGGCATGTTGCAGGTGATTAATCCTCTGTGACATGTCAATACATTCTGGGGGGCACCTGTAAGTCACTGCTTTCTTTTTCACTGGGATAGTCAGGTAATTTGTCATGCTCTTGTGGGAGCTCTTTTCCAGATTAATAAGCCCCACCCAGCTCCAAGCTGCTTTGTGAGCCTTTCATTTAGGGGAAAATATCAGTTAAGAGGAATCTTCCACATAATGCACGATTAAACCAAATCGTAGACTTTACTCCATCTAGATTTTATTCTCTTTATTAACATCTACCTTCTGCCTCTCGCAAAAAAACCATATTGGGTGGCAATTCTCAGTCCTCATCCATTGTTTTCTTTCATCTCCTTTGCATGCAGGGACCTGAAACTGGATAACCTCCTTTTAGATGCTGAAGGATTTGTGAAGATCGCAGATTTTGGATTGTGTAAGGAAGGTGAGTAGCTGGAGAAGCTAAAATTGAGCCATCAGGATCAGTTTAGGATCTTGGCTTTAGTAAGTGTTTGTGTGTAATTTGTATTAATCCCCATTAAAAAAATAAAATAAAAAAATCCAAACAACAAAAAATCCGTCACTTATCTGGACATGATGAATTTGGGAAGGATACCTTGTTGTATAATCTTCAACAGACTTATGAAAGCATTTAAAATGTGCTTGTTTGCACCAGGAGGAGCCAGATTACCTCAGATCCATTCAGTAACTTGTGTTGGATTTTACCAAAGTGTCCTTTTCCTACAGGAATAGGTTTTGGAGACCGGACAAACACCTTCTGTGGCACTCCTGAATTTCTGGCCCCAGAAGTGCTGACGGATGTCTCGTACACACGGGCAGTGGACTGGTGGGGCCTGGGTGTGCTCATTTATGAGATGCTTGTTGGTGAGGTAAGGCCAGCTTCCCTCAGGGGATCTCACTAACCAGGCTTGGGGACCTGACCACTCGAGGTAAAATTTTGCTAAATGTAGCCAACTATTTATTAGTACTTCAGTTGCATTTTTCTCATTCATAGTGCTTGCCAAACACTAATTAATCCATACAACTCCCTGCTATTTTCATGCTTATTTAATAGTGAGAAATGGGTGCTATGTGGATTGAATAATAGAATGTCCCAATTGCAGTCACCATTCCCTGGAGATGATGAGGAGGAAGTCTTTGACAGCATTGTCAATGATGAAGTCCGGTATCCACGATTCCTTTCAACTGAAGCACTTTCCATAATCCGTAAGGTAAAGGGTTGATGGGTCTCTGGGAGCCTGAGGAATTTGCATTTACTGTGTAAATGGATCCAGAGGGACTTGATGAGGATTGTTTGGCATTTGTGAGTGTAATCTGGAGCTGCCTTCATAGGCTAAGGAAATATTTAAAATTTGCAATATTTTCCCTTCCTTCTCTTTACATAAACGCAGTTCCTTTGTGTAAGGATGACTAAGCAGACTGCTTACTGTTCCTGCTAAGTCTGGCACAGAGAAGTGTTGATTGAAGGGCAAGAATGTCAGAGCCATTCAGTGGAGATGGCTGGATTCACTTTTTGAATGTGCCCCCATAATCACAGGTGCACAATTAAGCTGAGGTGCTCCATGCAGTTTATGGCAGGTATCTTATTGCTGTTGGCGAATTGTTTACAAGGAACTAGGTCTGAGTTATTCCTGGCAGATGATGACCTTGGTGCAAAGTGAGAATGAGGAAACACTGAGGGATCAGTCCACCTCCTTTCTTTTGTTTTTCTCTCTGGAACATTACTTCTGTTCATCCTTGTTCCAATTGTTTAATTTTGACCTGATATTTCTGCAGCTGCTTCGGAAATGTCCAGAGCGTAGACTGGGAGCAGGGGAAAAAGATGCAGAAGAGATTAAAATTCAGCCCTTTTTTAAGGTAGGAACTTGGTTTATACCTTTCCCTTATTTCTTGTGTCTGTTGATGTTGAGGCTTATTTCCCTTTGTTATGAGGGAGATCTTAGTGATAGCTTCTGTTGCACCTCATTGCTCCATTCAGGAATATATGTTTCAAGTCTTGCTTGAAATGACATCCCCCAAGTCTGTTTCCTGGGATCTTCATGCTTCCAGAGCCAGTTTATTTCTGTTTGTGCTGCTTCTATGTACAAATATACTTAACTTTAGGTACATGAACAGATATTCCTTTTAAAATCTGCAGCATCAAAGATGTTGTCTAGTATGACAGTGATTGTCAGTCAGTCTATTTGATCACCTGCATTTGCAGGATACACATGAGTCTTAAGATAAATGTAAGTTAAATTGCTTTGTGTCAGGGGTATGTGTCTGTTCCAGGCAAAGGTGTTGCCATCCCTCCTCATTATTACTCATCTACCCAAAAGCTTTTAGCCTTATAACCCTTGTCTGGCTTTGCACTAGAGCAAGAAAAGAACTTGGATGTCAGCAAAAATTTCTGGGATCCACAGATCCACCTGGCTACAGCTGAGCTGTTGTTTTGTCTCTCCTAAATACAGTTGTAGCTGTAAAATACACTGCATGGAATCTCTTCTGCACTCTACCTCCTGTGCTGTTTGTTTTGGGCCTTTTTTCAGTTCTCTTTCTTTTTTTTAATTAGTAGAAATAAGACATGTTGCAAATTATCCATAAGGGAGACTGCATTCTCCTTCTGACTTTCACATTTTATAAATAATTGTGTCAATCTGGCCTGTTGCCTTCCTTTTCTTACAGGGAATTGACTGGGATGCCTTGTTTGCCAGGAGGCTGAAGCCCCCCTTTGTGCCCACATTAAGAGATCCAACTGACATCAGCAACTTTGATGAAGAGTTCACTTCCCAAAAGCCAATCCTTACTCCTCCTGAGGAGGTTTCTCTCCTAACCCGTAAGGAGCAGACTGTCTTCAAGGACTTTGACTTTGTTTCCAGGCACCTTTTAGATGTGTGATTCCTGGGCTATAAAAACATGAAGTGATTGTTACCACCTTGGGGGAGCATAGAGAAGACTTTGTAGGGCCAGTGGTGGAAAAGCCAACAGGATTTGTAGTACAGGTAGTGTTGATGGCCCCAAGATGAAGTGCCCTGAAAGCTGAATTAACCTGCTGTGGGTTTTCCAGCCTCATTTGTTGGAAGAATCTTGGATATCAATTATCTTTAAGGAATAATTAACATTTGATTTGGTATATCTTCTTCTATCATTGAATGTAGATGAAATTTGGAATTTAAGCTGGACTTGATGAAATGAAATCATCTCTGCAGCCCAGGTTACTCTTTGCAAAAAGCCTAAGTAGTGTGACTTTTTAAAGTTGTAGCATAGCAGGGGAATGGCCACTTCTCATTGATTTTCTAGAGATGCAGCATTCCCTCCTGGTAATGATTTTATGCCATTTCCCACTCATAAAAATGTGTATGCCAGACAAGGAATGGATTTAACACTACCCAGTGATGATGTTTGATAATGATCCAAGTGATTTATCGGAAGGAAGATGAATCTTTCTACTTAAGGATGCCAACTCTTAGCTATTGTTTTTAATTATATCAAACTCCACAGCTTTGCACATGTTATTTTCTTTTTTGAAAATAAAAATACCTTTCCATATAATAAATGTTCAGCTTTTTATCTCCTTTGTGTCAGCTAAATATTTCAGGTCAGGGCCAACCAAAATGCTCAACAGGCAGGACTTCAGTTTTCTCCATAAATGCCAGTAGTAATATTTTCTTTCTTTTTTCCTTCTCACTTAGGTTGTCTGTGTACATATTGCACGATGTCATCAGCTGTCAGATACCAATGACTGCAGTCAGGTTATCTATCCACAGATCTTATCAGTGTGTACATACTGTACCATTTTTGGGGGCAGCTAAGTAATGACAGACAGTGCTGGAAAATCAGTGAGTTAAAGGTGATTTAATTGCCTTGTAATCTATCTTGTAATTATACTTGATAAGATACATTTTCATGTCTTAAATTCATAATGTTAGCTCATTGGGCGAAAAGGGAAGGGTTTTTAGAGATAAGGCATCTGATGCAAGCAAGGACACAATCATTGCTCTTTCAGTTTGTCTTCACCAGACAAAGACAGGAGTGGGACTAGGGCAGCTGTCCTGTAGCTGGAGACAAGGATCTAGGGAATTGTTAAGCCAAGACAGGTCCCAGTGCTTCAGGATTCAGTAAGGTAAGAGCTCTGTTTATTTAAACCAGGGATATTTCACACTGAGCCTAGATTTTCTATTTTCAGAGCCAAGTATAGCTGCTTCTGAAAATTCCCATGTACAAAGATCCTTCCAACCTCCTGCTCGCCCTGGCAGTGCACTGGCCTGTTTAGAGCAGGATACCCATTTTCCTCACTCTTGTTTGAGTGGCAGCTGCTGTTGGCCCCTGTGGTATGTTTTGTGGCTTTAGTTCAATGCCACTGTGCAGTGGGAGGTAGCACAGTGGATTGTTAGCACAGGTGAAACCTAGAACTTGGGTTCGAAGAGAGAGTCATAGAGAATTTAAAAATGCATATTTAATCTTTTATTTTATAATTTACAGTTGAGTAAAAAAAATGGTAATTTATCACCTAGGTGTATTTTAAATAAATACCAAACACAGCAAAACTGGTTGGAGCTGTTGTATGTACCTGCTGATAAACTTTCACTTGACTGATACCTGAAGAACCAGGAACTGCAATGTGACACATGATCCACACTTTAGCAGGTATCACAGCAACACAAGCAAACTGCAGAATCCTTCTGAATGGTGTAGCAGCTTTTCAAAAGCAATCCTTACCATTCTGGTATCCCTCTGATAAAGCTACTTTGAACAAACCAGACTGTGCACAGACTACAAACTCTGGAGCTGGTCAAAAAAAGCATCTTTTGCTGCATTTAAATTGCTTTAGGACTGTTGTGCCGTGTTAGTAACTACACCGTCTGTGGTTCTGAGTTGCTGTTAATTCCTGAGCCAAGACAATTAAGGCACAAGATATTTTTAACTAACATTTTGTTGTGGTTGTTTTTCTTGTTTTGTTTGTTTTTGTTTTAACAGAAAAGGGTCAGGACTAAAAATCACACCACAGCCTTTTTTGTTTTAAAGCGAAGATCGGTCATCCCAAACTTCCTTTTACTTCCCCATGGAAATCTGAAGTAGGACCTTTTATTTCAATGGAAAACAGGTCCTCTTGTTGCTGTCCTGAAAAGTGTCAGCATCTCTCATCTCAGTTAATCAACCGGGACCTGACAGCTTTGCTTTTACACTGAAATTGTATTAAAATGTCAGTAGTGAGTTGAGGTAGTAGTAGTTTTACCAAGTGTTACTTGAGTTAGGCAAGAGGGACCCACCTCTGCTCCTGCTTCTCTCCCAAGCTACAACAAAGGCCTGAGCATGATGTTATCTGCAGAAATAACTCAGTAGCCAAGGATTACTTTTCTGTCCAAAGAAAAGCAATGGTATCATTCTTCACTGATTTGATTCAAAACAGTGAATTGTTAGCAGCATCATCAACTTAAAAAGCTGTGAGGAAGCTGCTCAGGACATCAAAAAATACAGGTTAATTATCTCATAACATTAATTGGGTATCTTACAGCTCTTTCTCATTCCCATTAACATTATTAAGCCTTAAGTCTTTGTTGAAAGTATTGAGGCATGTGGATAAAATAAAATTTGCTTTTTACTCTCTAAATATTTACTTAAATATTTCTGTTACATGCCTGATATTACTGCCAAAAGGCACTGCAGTTCTCACAGCCAGAACTTGGCTGAAAAAAGGCCACAGGAATTAAACCAATCCTGGCTGGTTTTATCTGTAATTGCTGCTGTTCCCTAGCAGCAAAAGGCAAGGGAGACCTTGGAGAAGAGAACATGAATAGTCACACTAATCTTGCATTTCTTCTGGAAAGAAGTGGATGCACTTAACAAAAGGAAGTAAATTTAGAGAGGTACTTTGGTCAGTCTGGAAATCAGCTCTGCTGGCTTTGTCCTTCCCAGAACTGGATTCTTGCCTTTAACAGTGTTATTTATATATAAAAAATAACCCTGACTATCCCTGAAACATAATCTGCAGATGAACGGGTTGTGGAGCAGGTTCTATAGTCCATGATGGAGTAAAGTTCAGTGCAAGGAAACAGCAGCCATTGCTTTAGCAAAGCTTTACCCAGCGGCCTGCCAGGCGTGTTGGCACACTGGGACTAGACAGGCTCACTGTTCCTGTGAAAATAGATGTTCTCCCATGCAGTGAGGTGGCGTGAGCAGAAGAATCTCCAGAGATTGAGGATTATCCCTTGGTCAAAGGGGTTCTCCAGCTCGGAGTGCCGCAGGTAGGAGATGCGGTGGTGCGACATGAACTCCCAGGTCGTGGTGTTGCATGAGATCAGGTACAGGTGGGAAACAAGCAGCAGCAGGACCACAATGGTGAATATGAATATCAGGAGGAAGGACACAAGGAGGAAAATGTTGTGCTGCAGCCACTTCTGAGATTGTTCAAAGTAGAGGCCTGACCTTTCAATTCAAACAGAAATAAATCTGCAGTTAAAGAAGCAGAACTAGTTTCATAAACTAAGCAAACCTGGTGACACATTTAAGTTTGATTCATAACTAATGAGCTGCTGATAATCCTTGACTACAGAGAGTTAATATACTATGAAGTCCTGATTGGAATCTAAGTTTAGAAGATGCTGTTTCCCCTGGCAGCTGTGAAACACAATCACCCTGGCTTAATTCCTCTCCTGAACAGCTGGAACCCTGTTGGAGTTTCCAACACTTGAATGTGTAAACAAAGATCCTGTTACAGTACAAATGTACGAAAATGTACAGAAGCAAAATGAACAATGAAACCTAAATTATCAGATTCTGCTCAAGATTAGGAGGCTCCAGAATGCAAAAGAGGGTGAAGATCCAAAGCAAGTCCTGCCACTTCTATGTTCTATGCCAGCCCAAGGAGCACCACAACTTTCAGCAATCTCAGAGGTCCAAATGCCATCTCCCAGCCTTACCAAGCAACATGGCCTCCCCACAGCAGAACCACAAGCTGCACGCTCAGGTAGACTATGAAGAGTGGGTGATTCCTTTCTCCTACACAGTTCTCAAGCCAGGGGCAGTGGTGGTCGTAGCGCCGCACACAGTGCTGGCACAGCTGGCAGTGCTTGGCTCTCATGGGTTGCTGCAAAACACAATCAGAAAAAGAAGAAACCCGCTGGCTACAATTCATGACTGTCCCACTCCTGTTTGGTAGAAGAGAACATCATTCAAATCTATCTTTCTCCACAAAATTGTCCCTAAAACACTTGCTTGTAAGACAGCAGCACATCAACACTGCTCAGATAAATCAAAGGGATTGTGATTCTCCTGGTCAAGACCCAAATGGGTGGCATTCAAATTAAGTGACTTTCCCACACTCCTCCTATCTACACATTTTCTTTATTATCTATAGGAAGTCCACCATGCCAAGGAGGGAGACAAAGCCAATCAGTGTTGTTAAGAAAGCATGAGCCAGAGTATTGAGGCGAAAAACTAGGACCACTACTATAAATAAAGTGGGCAGGGATGTGATGCTTTTTGGGGATGCACAGAGAAGTGCCTCCATATGAATACAAGACACTTGCACAGAAAACAGCTCAATTACCAGGCACAGAGAAGGTGAAAGACTTGGCTGAGAAAAGTAGTGCTTCCTAGGATTTGTCCCCTGCAGTGTATAAATGCTTTGCCAGCTTTTCCTCTCGCAATCCGCTCATTCCTCCTGATCAATACTCTTCAGGAATTTCTGGGAGGTGGGGTAATGTTTAATTTCATTAAACTGATAAGGATCACTCTCAAAACAAGCCTTTCTAGGCTTAAGGCAAACTGTTTTAAGAGCTAATTTAATTGCTGTAATTTCTCCTTCATGCTGTCTTTTACCATTCAGGACAATGTTTTGTTGTTTTAAGGCCTCTGAACAAATTCACAACAATGAGCAGTTCCTACATGTCATACTCTACTGCCTTTCTGACTATCAAGGTATGTTCAAAATAACTTTAACAGTACTGCAAGGTCAGGCTGACATGGCAGTAAGAATGTGGAATACAGTTTTCTCATGGCAAAAAGAGATTGTTGTTTCTATAAGCCAGCAGGAATTTTTTTCAGCCTTGGAAAACTGGCTTGTGTGCCTGTGTTCATCACTACTACTTGTGTAGTTACACAGTCTGCCCAGCCTCCTCTGAGCAGCAACTATAGACCACCAACAGCAGCTGAAGAACAATATAAGCTTTCAAATCACTCATCCCTTCCTCTTCCAGCATATTCTGGATGCCCACCTTCACCAGACAGTAACCACAGCGCCGCAGCTTAATGTCACCAGGAATCTGAGGGATCACCACACCTTCTCCTTTATCTTCACCTTCCTAGAAAAAAAGAGAAAGAGGAGATGGAGGAGAGTTCTTGGGTTACTGTCTAGGAATGACTGAGCTGTCTTGCTGCCATCTTTTTACTTCACAGTTACACAGTGCTTGTTACCTCTATCATTAGGAACAAAATAATTCCTTATAATTCCTACAGAAGTTGTGGACAGTTATGGTACAGTGAGAGAGAACATATTACTGTAACCCTCCTAAGAATGTCTGCACAGAGGCAGAAATAACTGTGGACAGGATACGCTCTGGGACACTTCTAAACACAATAAAAATGTCTTTTCAGTATGAGCAGTGCTAGTCAAACAAAGCCAACACTGACATGAATGACGGATAACTAAGATTGTCCTACAGAGTCTGTAAGGCAGTGAACCCAGAGCAGACTCAGTCACTGAAACTTTGCATCTCCATTTATTTCACTGTAACTTGTTTGTGGGTGTGTCCTTTGAGAGGGCAACAAATCTATAAAGAGTTCAATAAATAGAGCTGCAGAGAGCACTGTCTGCCAAGCCTGCCCTTCAGTTCAGGGCTTTTTTTGCACTTGTACCATTTAGCAGTGGTTATTGTAAAATAGATCATATATACATTCCACAGGGCACTGCAGCCTCTGTTCTAGGAGAAGCCTTGGGATCAAAGGCATAGTTACAAGGGCAGTGTGGTGTGAAAGGTACATTTAAAGCCTGTAAACCCTATTGCTGTTACAAAATGAGACAGTATGAGACAGTCTGTCCTCATCTCCCAACAGTATGTGCATGTGTCCTTCATGCTAGCGTAACAGAAACTGTTTCAGATTGTTCTTACCTACCAGAGTGGAAAAAGTAGAAAAGCCTATAGACTTTACATCTACTCCACTTTCTTCTATTCACGAAGGGATTTACCTTCACTTCTTCTTCAGGCTTAACAAAACCCGGATCCATAAGAGACACTTTGAAGTACAGCAGGACCGAGCATAACACCAGCAAAACGAAGATCAGCGGCTGAAGAAGCTCCCCGCGTTCCTCTTGCTTTTGCAGATCTGAAAGGTACCCAAAGACAGAGCAGCAGCTCCTTGTTAAGCGTCCGGGATTCTTCTCTTTGGCCCCAGCAAAGGGATCCCTATGAAGAGGAAACAGGGAGAGACGGCGAGGGGCGAGAGGCTGAGAAGGGGCTCCCCAGACCCCCCTGCCCTCGGGGCACCCCCGGGCCGCGGCCGGGCGCAGATAGCCCGTGTCCCGCAGGGGCCGCACGGGCCGGCCGCGAT